CCTTGTAAGTTCTCAGCCTTCGAGAATGCCGGTGCTATTGACGATATTTATACCGAGCGCTGATCTAGTACGTCCAAAATTGGTTTCAGAGACTTAATTCCCTCAGTCATTTAGCTCAGGGCTGGCTATTTTAACCCCTTGATCAGTGCGCCCATCACACCCCTTTGTTTTTTTTTGGCTCCACCTCTCATTACTTACACAGCACATCGTACAAACGGTAGCTACGACATCCCAGATCATATAGCTAGTGAGACCTACTCAACAGCTCAAACTTTGGATAAGTTCGGGGCTGCTCAATTGCGAACTTGTGGAACATGAAAACAGGACTATAGCCCTCCATGTCCGCTCATAGCTCTGCTGACATTTCAGACGTCTTGAAATAACGAGAATCATCATTAGTGTGGTTGATTGCTCAGGCTCTCTTGACACGGCTTGACACGGCTTGACACGGCCATCTGCATCATGCTCAGCCCTTTACCACTCACCAGGAATCTGCAATGAGCCTGTGTGCTATTATTAACAGATTTGCAGCGCCTTTCAACCTCGACATTGTGTTCGGAGCTATATCACGCTACTTCATTGGTATAAGAGTGAGAAAACCTATCTACGTTATCCCTCATTTCCCAAACCTTCCATGGCCATCAATTACGCCAAATCTTTAGGTATCGAATCCGTAGCTGGGCCTGTGGTCTTCGCGATTGCGTATGCGCCGCTCCTTGTCTGGTTCATCATCCAGGCAATCAGGCGGCCAACATTTGTATTCGTTTATATGTCGTTGTTCTGTCTCAGTATGTCAGAGCCATCGCGTCCGTCATCTCAGGAGACTTACGACAGTTCTAGTTCGGATATCTGCCTTTGTGATTCGTTCCATCTTGGCTGGTTCGGAATCTGCAGGAGAGACTATTGAAGTCTATATTGCAGACCAAGTACTCTTTGGGGTTGGATACTTCGGTCTCTTGTACTCCGCATATACATTGGTACTCGACCGGTATGGTATTCTCTTCTCCTCAATACAATGATTAGAACTGATACGAATGCTGAATGTTTAGCTGGCAACTCACCAAGGGGCCATCCGATCAGGGTATAATGCGTCTCATGCAAAATCGAAGGCTGTTCAGAATTGTAATGCTAGCCGCCGTCATCCTTGGGATTATCGGTGCAACAGAAGCCAACAGTACCGACCCTAAAAACGGCAAAACTTTCAAGATAGTCAGCACTGCCATCTTTCTCGCCTTGACCGTCCTTTTAGGACTTCAAACGTTACGGTTGGCCCTCTTTGAACGTGAGATTGGATCCGAATTATAGGCAATACGAAATGAAACTTACAACCTCGGCAGAAAAAGCAGGGTTTAAGACCTCGGGGGCAGGAACTATAGGCGGGGAACATAGCTCTTATATTTTATGTGCCATCGCTTTGCTCCTTTTTGTTCGCGAAGTGTTTGTCACGGCTACGCTGAACGATGCGGCAAAACAGAACAACGAGCACTTTTGGTATCCTCTATATGCCGTCCCCGAGATCCTCGCGGTGATACTATACGCCACACCCGGCCTCGTTCCTCCTCGTTCAGAACTACAGGCTCAGTCATCAACGACACAGATGGAACCAGCTTATGACTTCCGGCCAAACGTTGTGTAACAATATAATCACACTTTCCTCTCTACTGTTATGCGTACTATACCATTAATTATTAGCGTTGGATGGCATCATAGTGCCTCCAGCAGAAGTATGTAGGCGACGAATTTGAGATGGATTGAATTTAAAGATATTTGAGTGTGGAATGTGAAGTGTGAACAAAGAGTACCCTCAAGGTGATCAATGTCAGTTTGGAGCGCTGATAGGTGTATTCCACATCCTCGGCATCTTAACCGAAGATGACAAAGGGCGGTCGGGGTTCACCTGTTCCTACGACGAGGACAACTAACTTCTTATAGCTAGATCAATGATCTCGACCATGACCTCGAACTGCGGAAAGTTGGTGATTACATGCGATGTCACTGACAGCACGGTGAGAGCACATGTTTCTTCTCGGATCCATCGTCTCCTGAGCGGACGATCAACAAAGTTCCACGAGCTCAGAACTTCCCAGGTAATATTTTTGACAGTATATCTCTCCATTCTACTTGTAGTCTTCTCAAAAATTATCTTTGCCTTATGCAAGGCGTCTATCTAATCACTCACATTAGGTAATGATCTGACCCCGTTGAGCTTCAACAAGTTCAGAAAGTAAGTATTCCAACAATTCTTCCATGTTCAATCTCCACAAGTTTTTCGGATGAGCTTACGGTGTATGGAAACCCCATTTTAACAGTTTACGCATTCGAAAGTGCCCAGATGCCTATTGAAACAATGCCACTCATTCTTTCCCTACCTTTGCAAAACTCCTTGGCTCCTTCAGCTCTCTGTTCCAAGCGTCGTGTTACTGTGGCAACATCCTATCACAAATGTCACTTTACCTTTAGGGTTGCACGAGCCTACTAGAGACCCCCCTATTGTGAAAGGGGCATGTTCTCACTTCCTGGCCAGAAAACGCATATAATAACTCCACAGGGGCTTCATCGCGAAATTAATACACTGAGGCCAATGTTCCGCTGATATTTTGTTCTAATTTTATCTTGCTCGATGATCAGGACAATCATCTGATACCGTACTTCTCAATCGATGCATCCGGGATCTCGCTGATTGAATCGTTTGTGCGAACTAAGGACGAATGCATGGATCCGTGCTACCCGGTCACTTGCCTAGACACTGTAGGGTATCAATTGAAGCCTATATAACAACGCGGCTGATACACGATCGATTGAAGAGCGTATCACCAGAATTTTGACCGCCACATCGCTATAGTATTCAACGCCGGCCAATCACGGCTACCGCTCCATGGCGCCGAAGTGATCCTGTTGGTGGAACTCAACGCAGAAAGCTTGACTTAATTTCAATATGAGCATACCCAGATGGATTATGGTCCAGAGAGTTCTGCGTTCGAAGCAGATGAGACGATAAGAACTGATCTTGGATCTGCCCCTCCTGCTTTGCCTGACGACCATTTCTGTGCAATCACCTCAAGGAGTTTTTGCCACCGCTTAAATTCCCCCCTCACCCATCCCATGTCACTCATCAGACTCTCCTT